CGACCACAGGCCTTGGGGGTCAATTGGAGCAATGTAGTTATAGAATGTAAGCTTGTTTATTGATGTGACACTTTCTCGAGCAAAGGACAGGTGACATCCATGTCTGCACCATGTTTAAGGTCCAGTGTAGCTTAGTGGTTGTGTGGCGGTTATTTTAAAATGAATATACAGAAACTGATGTTACCAGCACTGAAAGATAATTTTATCAGAACTAAAATATTATTTAAAGCTAGAGTTGTACCGATACCGATACCAGTATCGGAAATGCCTCCGATACTGCCTAAAATGCGGTATCGGGTATCAGTACAGCCTATGACCAATCCAGTACCACGTAATGCCTCACGTCATTACGCATACGCATACTACAGGAAAACGAAACGGAAACGGAGCAGAGTTTAAAAAGCATTCTACTGTAGCCTTTAAAATGTCTTTTTTACCAAATTGTGTGGCTGCACTTTAACCTGTGTCTTGATCTATGTCAACACTGGATAATAATAACAATAAAAAACGTTTTATGGCATTCATTCTACTATTATGTATTTATTTCTTAATATTTTACATAGAGTTTTAGGAATTGAGACATACAACAATTCATATCCCATCCATTTTTATTTTACGCGCTGGTATCGGATCGGTACTCGGTATTGGCAGATACCTAAGGTTCAGGGATCAGAATCGGTATCGGGAAGGAAAAAGTGGTATCGGTACATCTCTATCTAAAGCTACACTTATCCATGTCTACATGTCTACACCCAACCCTGTAGTTTCCCACAGCTCTAAAAGGCATTTTATCATCTTTCAGGTCTTTGTTTTGGTTTAACAGCTTATAGCTTTACTGTTTTGGTTCAATCTCACTGCTCTCATCAAACCAGCTTATAGAAGCTGTTTTCAGCAAGCAAACCATTAAAAATAAAACACTTAGGTATGGTTAGGAAGATGTCATGATGCCATTTTGGCTCAAAATACCTGGTTTGGGGGAACAATCCCAGCAGGAAAAGTAGCAACAAAACAAAAACAAAAACACAAAACGTGGCACTATGCCCACTGGAAAAACAGTGATGGGTCGCTACAAAACACCAATCTTTGGAGCCTAAAAAACTTCTGGAAAAACACAGGTGGATTTATGAAGAGGTTGCTACAAATCACCCACATTTGGAGCCTAAAAAGCCAAAGGAAACCCACTGAGACGTCACTAAAAGCTCCCCCCTTTGGAGCCTAAAAAGCAGATGGAAACCTATTGATGGGTAGCTACAACACACCCAAATTCGGAGCCTTAAAAAACAAAAGAAACACACCGATGGGCCACTACAAAACACCAATGTCTGGAGCCTAAAAAGCTGATGGAAAAACACAGATTGGTTGCTACAAAACACCAACATTTGGAGCCTTAAAAGCAGGTGGAAACCTATTAACAGGTTGCTACAAATTAGGGATGTCCCAATCCGATATTTGGATCGGTATCGGCCACCGATATTAGCAAAAAACATGCATCGGCATCGGATCGGACTGCATGGAAAAATGCCAATCCAAGAAGTCCGATCCAGTTTTTCACGGAATCCGATCCAGGTTTTCTGGCCAGCCCAGCGTTCCGCGATTCAAGCAGTCCATTCCAGTGATCCGCTCCAGCTCTTACTATCAATCCACCAGGCCAGCATGCAGACGGCAGACACACACGAAGGGTAGGAAGAGTAGTGGTCAACTTAGTTAACTGATTATTTGTTTTCTGCTCTGGTTTTTTGAGAGTGATATCTTTGTTTGGTTTACACTCTTACTGTTTAAGTAAAGCGCACTGATGGCATTGTTTTGGGCACAATTAGTGAAATTGGAGCCATGGATGGACTATTGCTTGTTTAAACAGGCTGGCACTGACACTACTAAAATAACTGAAAAGGAAAGGCTGCATTGTTTGTTAAATGTCAGCAATGTCTTGTGGTGTTAATCTTTTTTTTTATTTATTAGGGGGCCAAAGCACAAGTGTGTGGAGTCTTGCTGCTATTTTAATTTCAATGTTAGACATTTTAAAGATTTCTTGTGTTGATTTGAACTGTTGTGCAGCATTCTAACTAACCCGATTAAGTAGTTGTTCTTGTTAGAGTAATATCACTTGATCAAAACTTTTCTAACATGACTGACAACAAAATAAGTGAATATGTATAACACGCACTTGGATCGGATCGGTATCAGTATCAGCCAAAACTCAAGGCTGTAATATCGGATCGGATGTGAAAAAGCTGGATCGGGACATCCCTACTACAAATCACCCAGATATGGAGCCTAAAAAGACAAAGGAATCCCACCGAGACGTCACTATAAAACACCCACCTTTGGAGCCTAAAAAGATGCTTGAAAACAGACAGGTCGCTACAAAACACCCACATGTGGAGCCTAGAAAGCTGATGGAAACCCAGCAATGTGTAGTTACAACACACCCTCCTTTGTAGCCTTAAAAAAAAACAAATGAAACACACCAAGGGGCCACTACAAAACACCAGTATCTGGAGACTAAAAAGGTGCTGGAGAAACACAGACGGGTCGCTACAAATCAATCATGTTTGGAGCCTAAAAAGCTGCTGGAAAAACAGACAGGTCGCTACAAAACACCAACATCTGTAGCCTAAAAGCAGATGAAAACCCACTGATGTGTGGCTACAACACACCCATATTCTGAGCCTAAAAACCAAAGGAAATGCACCGACGGGCCACTACAAAACAATCACTTTTGGAACCTAAAAAGCAGATGGACACAAACAGAGGGGTTGTTGCCAAAAAAAACAAAAAAAACAAACCCAAAACAAAACAAAACAAAACAAAAAAAAAAAAACACCCCACACATTTGGAGCCTAAAAAGCTGACAGAAACACACCAGGGGTTTTCTACAAAACACCCAAGTTTTGAGCCTAAAAAGCTGATGTAAACGCACTGACAGGTCGCTACAAAACACCCACTCTGACAGTGATCTTCAGCGTGGCAGCTGCTCACCTAGATGACACATCATCCCTCTTCCCCTCCACCTTCCTGTGACAAAATCAGCTCATATACTACACCACTTTAAAAATGTTGACATAATACATTTGAAAGGTGCAAATGTAAAAAATCTGTAGTTTGCAAAAATGTACAATGCCAACATTTTCTTCTGGCAACTGGGCTGGCCAATAACGTGTCTGCTGGATGCGTTTGTGTTTACAGCTTATTCATCTGTTCCTACACTAACAACAATTAATTTATACTACTTTAAAACACCATTTACATTTTTATGTTACCAAATGATTACAGGCAGTTTACTGTAAATTATTTAAAGGGGAATATAGTGTTCTTACAGAGGAGAAGATAAATCAAATATGAACAGTTTCTCTGCTTCTGGCTTCACTGACACAGACCTGCACCTTCACATAAGAGAGCAACATAAAAAAAACAACAAACACTGAGAAAAACTTCAAACCATATCAAGTACATGAGTGTATTTAGGTGTCAAGAGACCTGTCTTATCAGCAGTGGAGGCACAGCTACCTCTTTCACACATGAATGCCATCTTATCTAGTCAAGAGCCTGCAACGGCACTACTCTAAACTGTCACACACACACACACACACACACACACACACACACACACTCACACACACATACGCACACACAAAGCCCTCATCTGGAGCTGAAGGTATCTAAACAAATATTCTCACTGAGAATATAATTAGGTCAAGAGAGAGAGAAAGACCTTTTCACAAATTAAAAATCCAATTCCCGCTCTTATTAATCCAATCAGACAGAATAAATCACAGTATTCATTATGTATACAAACACTTGGAGTACAGACAAAACACCTGCAAAGAGAGCGTGTACACTGATCTAACACAGTCTCAATAAAGATTAAATGAATGTTTTTTTCTTTTTTACTACATCATTGCTCACAAGATTGTGTCCACCCCCTCTACTAAGCGACAACTGCATCCAAAATAGATTTAGTGTCTCAGAGGGATATTTGTTTTCACAGCCGGTACACAGAAATGTACAGATATACACATAGCAACACACAGTTACACACATAGCAACATTAAGATATAGACAGTACACAAAATCTCAATGAACGCATCCATGATCTCGGCTCACAACAGTGTCAACAAGGAGGATTGTTCGGGACTATCAGTTTTAAGACCATCTTTGAAATATTAGCCAGTTTTATCTCAATCCTTTCAAATCTCTGCTCCCTTTATCTCTCAACACAATTAAGACAAAACCAAATACATCACAGATTAAATGTGATTTTAATGAGTCGTATTGATCCTCTGCCATTGGCACGGCTGCCGTCATAACAGATTTGTGGAATCCTCTCCTTTTAGCTTTATGTTTACTTTGGCGGCGTTTCTCTGAGTCCAGCTTTTATTAAGCCAACGATCTCAGCCAACAAAACACAATGAGACAACAGGAGGAGCAACATGTAGCGTGTGCGTGCGTGTGTGGCTGGGGGATAAGAAAGTACTTAAAAAAGATGCAGTTATTATCCTAGTTTAATTTGGTTTTGGCTGCACACACACACACACTTGCACGCACACACACAATCAAAGTTGGTTGGGGATGATCACTCGTATCAGTCACAGCAGAAAGACCCTAAACAAAGTGCGTGTGAGCGCATGTGTATGTGATGTTTATTAACGAGGCCCTGCAGTCATGTAGCAGCATGCTCTGTGTTTGTTTCACAACTGAAAAGCAGACGGAGAATTAAGGTTTTCAGAACAGAGTTGTGTGAAATAGAGAAAAAGAAGTGGGGACAGAAGAAGACACCACACGTCACCACACTCATTAACACCAACAACTGGCAAGTGGCACAAACAGAATATAAATATATGATAAAGTTGCCATTTAGAGGCATCCATAGATGGATGACTCTAACTGACGGCCAATTTGGCTGCTAATCTAAAGGCCAAGGCCGCTGGTGGCAGGGACAAGAGATCAATCGTGTGTGCGTGTGTGTGTGTGTGTGTGTGTGTATACGGTCTCTCACTCACCAAATAGATTGCTGGAGTGGCCTTGCTTGGAGACGGGCCTGAGCTCATTGGAACCCCAGGCGTAGCGCCTGTAGCTGTCCCACGCATGTTTCATCATCTGACAGGGAGGAAGAGGAGGAGGAGAGAGGGGGAGAGATGAGAAATGAGGAGAGTTAAAGAGGACAATTCAACTTTGAGCTGTAATAAAGACAATGAAGTCATTTTCGTACAATGGTTTGTTTCTAGCCCAAATGATACTGGATTTTCATGGTAAATACCAACGTCTGAGAGACAATTTTTTTTAAATACATAGACACATATGAAACATTTTGATGAGGGTGGGGGGGAAAAAATCAATACAGCATAGTAACGCGATATTTTTGTGTGGCAATATCGTATCGTCACACAGAGCCAAGTATTTATTCATTTTTATTATATAAATCATTAAAATCACAAATACAAATTAAACTTTGGGTAGCCTGCTAGAATAATATAATCAATTGCTTTTTCAGTGCACTGTATACATTTTGCTACAAATACAATCAAGTGAGATGAATAGACTGAAAACTTTGTCAACATCTGCGCTATCTAATAAGATAAATTTTTACTTTGGGGACATCATTTACACTTTTAAAAAGGTAATAAATCAAAATATATTTTATTGCAATACTCAGCATATTGCAAAACGTTTAAAATGGCAATAATACTGTATCGTGACTTCAGTATCATGATAAGATCTTATTGTAGGGCCTCTGGTGATTTTGACAGAGGATCACTTGACTTTACTTTTTAAAGAATTCTGATCAAGTTATGGAATTTTTCAATTCAATTCAATTCAATTGTGATAAACTCTTAAAATAAACTATCTGCGGCCTCTAGAAAACAAACTATGTTATAAAAACAGTTTCTTAAATAATCCATTGCCATTTCTGGAATGAAATTTTTGCACCAATTATGAAATTCTGGACTGGTACCGATGTTTATATTAACACTTTTTGCCACTAGCCAATATAAATGTTGTTGTTTATTTAGTCTTGTAGTTATTTCTTCCCCCTTTTGTCGCAGTGACACAAATAAATAAATAGAATAAATAAATATAAAATTCTCACTGCAATGTTTTAAACTAGGGATGTCCCGATCGGGTATCAGCACAGATCACGTTATTTTTGCAAAAACGGAATTGGTAATAAAAGATCGGAGGAATCAAAACAACAAAAATAGCCAGGTTTTTCATCAGTGTTGTTCATTGTTGCCTCCACTTTCCAGTGTATTGTAACCAAGCATCATGGGTTCGCCTAACTGAGTGCAGCTAATTTCAGCGCAGATTTGCCGTTTACAATGTAGCATTATTGGGGAAAACATAGGGTGTGTCCCCTGACCCATCAATAGTGAGTTTACTGTGTCCTTTTGTACTGAGAGCAGCCCGGGAAAGATCTCTGTTCGTCCCCAATGTGTTTTCTGTTGTCCCCAGGACAGCGGGACACAGTTTGTCTCTAGTCCTGCATTTAATCTGAAAAAATAAAATGTCATCGTATTTGCCAAGAGGCTGATGGCAGTCAACAAGGCGAATATTCAGTGTATCACTAGATGTTTTTGTTACTAATCAGCCAACATATGTATCATTCATTTTTATTCTTGATTGTTCTGATGTTTGTTTCATAATTAACCAATGAATCATGTGGTCAACAAAATGTCAGGAAAATGGTAAAAATAAAAACTCAGATGTCTTGCTTTATTCCAACAACAGTCCAAAACCTAAAATTATTCAGTTTAACATCATTAATCGGTTTGCTTCTGAGTCATGCTGGCATTGCCTGTACACTGTAAGTGACCATTTGAGGTCCCTGGATATCTAGGTACTAAAGAAATTCAGACAATCTGCTGTCTACATCAGCATTCTTTACAATGTTTATCCCAAAGTAACAAGTAATTCCAGAGTCTGGCCTACCCATTAAACTGAAATGAGCAGGGCCATTAAGTTAAAACAAAATTAATGAACAAGACAAGAACAAAAGTCCACACAAACTGGAATAAGTATCTTCACAAGCTACAGCAGATTTCCAGCACTGCAGCCCAAGATGAATTTAAATAAATTACATTTGGAGATTGATTTAACAAAGTGGTATTATTCTTTTCATATTGCAACAGCCATATGTCATGTCCCTATGTATTGGTTCCTCTTTCGGGCAATTTAACAGAGCTCCTTTTTAACTTTATTTCTCATTAGATGACTGTATGAGACTTAACACAATATTAGTAGTAATCTGACATAAATGTATGTGCTTCATCATATGGTTGTCTTGTAGATCCTCTTTTTAGTTGTGTTCAAGCAGCAACCTCCAAGGCTGAAAAATGAAGCAAATGCTCAAGTGCCAAAAACTGCAGTTCCTAAAATGGCCACTTGAGGCTGGCTTTAAGAACAAAACATGAAGTAAACATGCTTACAGCCTGGTTCAAAGAACGGTTTTAGTCTCTACAGCTAATATCCCCATTCATGAAAACCATAAAGAGGGATGATTTTCTTCTATAACTCACCAGATATTATTAAAGCTCATCATCACACATACTTAAGGGGCACCGCCACTTTGAATGACATGCTGTGAGTCTATGAGTCAGATTCCACCCCCTCACTCCTGCCTAGCTCCAACCCTCTTGTCCAAGTATGTTCACTTCTGGCTTCAAAAATCCAAGATGGCGACTGTCAAAATGCCAAACTTGAGGCTTCAAAACAAGACTCAACAAACCAACCGCCGATGTCACGATGGCTACGTCCATTTCAACATCTTACCCATGAAGAGATTCAGCCCTTTCCAATGAAAACATAACACTAAAATATGCAACAAACTTTTAGCAGAGGGTAATGGACATATATTGTATTTATTCTAGTCTATTTAAAGATAGTGTCGTTGCTAATACGTCCCAATTTAGTCTTCACATGCTTACTTTTACTTCATGTGCTTAAAACTGATATTTAAGTAACATGTGCCAAGTAGGGGGGTAGGCTTGGGCAATTGGACGAATATATCGCCAATCGCCCATCGGCTGAGTCCATCACAGTTGGTTTCATTTTTGGCGTTTTTTTGGGCGATTTTTGTCATTTTATTTTGCTAAATTAATCCACAGAATTAAACTCGGTACATATAGTCCATAATAACTATGTAGAGCACAATTCAAAGTGTGTGCGTATTGGAACTGGCAGCTTCACACTGATTTATGACGAGTCTTTCACAAAACACGTCAGTGATGGCGGAGCTGAAAGTTACGGCCAGGGTCCACCGGCAACGGGAGCGGCGCGACACGTCTGCAGCGCGAGTCCCGTAGCAGCTTGACAACTCTCTATTTTAGGATGCTCTTCTATTTTTGTCGCGCTACGCTCCCCTACGCGACCCTCCAGCAGATAAAAACTACATGAAATAGTGTGCTAAACGAGCACAATGTGTTTTTAAATGAGTAAACCATTATCAGAGGTGGTATGTGATGATTTTCATTTTCATTCATTTACCCATGTTTATCCGTGACATTGTGTAAATGTCCGTGGCGGACATTTGAAAGCGAGTAGATGACAAACAGTACATTAAATTTGTAGATTACTCAAATATATGTAATAACTTAGGTGGAAAATGCTTTAACTATCATGGCTCAGCAAACGGTAAACAAGACGCTTGACGTGACGCTTACGTTTGCAGTCGGTGGAACCCGGCCGTAACATGAATTCATATGCGCATATGGTTAACAATGTTACCAGCCGTGCTAAACACCCTCTCTGATGGCGTGCTTGTTGCCGGTATGCACAGATATTTCCGTGCCATGTTGGACATGAGTGGGCTCGCAAAGCACGCTGCATTTTTTTGCTGCATTCATGTGGTGTCGGGAGATCCGAGTTGCCGAGTTGTTTTTCTGACATGAGGTGGCATTAATGTGAATTATCCCATTCTGAAAGTCATTTTTCGATTCTTTCCGACATCACATGAATGCAACATCCTCCCTCTTTTTTTTTTCTCTGCCACACACACAACTGCCGAATATATCGGCAACCGCCGGTTGATGGGCTGACGGTGGCCGGTTGGAAATTTTTGACATATCGCCCAACCCTATAGGGGGGCCCTCAAGTTAAATCCTGCTTAGGACCCCCAAAAGTCTAGGGCTGGCCCTGAGTAATTCATCTCAACTTCCTGGCATGTCAATCAAGGCTGTTGTCAGTGCTTGAGTCCGTTAATCACAGCGGTGTTATCCTTTAATTTAATGATCTCCTTCCATATCTTCTGATGCAAACTGGGCAGACATCCATGTTTAACACCTCTGTTGAAGATGTGAAACCATGTATTCTTCTTTCTTGATCTTTTTCCACCCTTGAAAAATAATATCTGATTTGTTTGTTCAGTTCTGAACACCAAAATGAAAATCAATAAACAATAGTACAACATCTGTCAACATAATCTCTGTCAAATGACCAATTCAAAATGTATGTCAACCAATCACGATCGGTGTGGCTGATTGATCGGCTCATTTCCTCTAAAAAAAAAAAAACAACAACCCAAATATCATTAAGTTCCCTGTGAAAAGGAACATTTTCCTCTGCTGAGTCCCATTATCTGCTGTTGAAACAGCCCAATTCCCCCAGAAGGAATCATTGAAGCTCCATTTTATTTTAATCTGGTGTTGGCTGGGGGCTTGATAGCAGTGTGAACACTAGTTTCCAATCTAACACCCAGACACTCATTTCAGTCTCAGATGTGGCTCCTCCTCCAGCTTGGCATTTGTCTGTCCCGGTAATCCAGGTTACACAGCATCCTTCTGGAGCTTTCTAGAACCTGCCTCTGGATTAGACACGCTAAAACCCTTTATCCTCCACCTTCAGACTGAAAGTCTGCTCACAGACACTTCAGTGGTGGTGTCTTTGTGTCATATATAGCCTCTATGCTGTAACCTATAGCGTATATGGGGTGAAGGCCTGCTTTGTACACCTGAATGTAGTAAACCACATACACAAGCATTCAGAAAAGTGATAGTGAAGCTGATACAGAGCCTGCACAATCTGTCCAGGGGGATCATATTACTTTATAATACATCCTTCTTCAGTACCCAGCAGTATCCTGTTGCTAGTATAAACTGTACATG